AGTCATTTAGTGTAGATAATATTATAAATAGATTTTGTAATATGAAGACTCAATCAAATATTATTTTAATATATGATATGAAAGTAAGTTTTCAAAATTACAATACATTATTTTAAGACTTGAAAAGCCGGCCTCCCCTGACTAAAATTCCTAACTCCGCCCTTGAAAACAAGGATGGTTGGATGGATTGGGGGGAATGCCTCAATATTAAGGGTTCACCTTTTATCTAATAGTCTTTGTCGATCATGTAGTTTAGTGCAATCTAAACTATACAATAATTTTTTGTTCAACCAAACTACCAAAAAAAAAAATCATAACAAGCATAATCAATTGATCTTCCTAAAAGAGCATAAAAAAAATGATCTTCCTCAAAGCGAGCCCTTAGCAAATTTGGAGAATATTGATCAAATTGAAATTACTTAAAATTTCAGTCAAATGCACTCAAACAAAATTTTGAACATTTTAGCAATGCAATGGGGAGCATCAGCATATATGAGATATGTCTTCATTCGTCAACAGAGGTTATAGTTTTGTCGTGTGGGTTTAAAATGATTCGGCAGAAGTTGATGGCATAAACTTCAGAAATGGTTTATTCTTCCGCATTAGCTATTGATCATACAGCTATTATTCTTTCTATTTCTTAAAATAGGTACAGTATAGTTCCTGTTCATCGCCAACAATATAAGATCTTTCAATGCATTAATGGAATAAAAATAGCATACGCATCATTAACTTGCATTTGATAGTTGAATGCCTCGTAGATTTAAGATCAACATAAACAAAGCATAATATGTAGCGTACAAGTATAGAATCTTCCTGAGAAATTATTGGTACATGCTCAGTTTGACTTATTTTTTGATGTTCATCTAGTTTAGTCATTAAAAATATAATATGATTGATTTAGTTGATTTTTACATCATATATAGGATGGTTATATCTTTAAGTTTACTTATTTTTAATTTTAAATAAAATAATAATAATTTTTTAATAAGTATATTATAAAATATATTGATTAGAGTATATATCAATCAATATCCAATCATCCTAGAGGCAAAGGGAAACCAAGAGCAATGCATAAATCATATGGATAGCATACATGAATTCATAAGTTTTAATTAAGTTCTGTGAAAGAGCATATGCATAATTGTTGGTATTTAGTCTGCATATTCATTTCAAATCAAGAAATGAAATGCATGAATTTTAAGCTATTGTACTTTCATTTTGTGACATTTCTTGCATGAGTACGGTGTTTTGCAGTTCGGAGAACAAAACACCAATCATTAGATGAAGAGAATGCATCCTCTATCTGTAAACCTATTTATTATTATTCAATAGTTAATATTTTATAGTTTGGATTGCAAAATGCTTTATTGTTCTTGTATATATATAGTGATGATCAAGAAACAATTTTAAACAAGAGCATAAGATAAGGAGAAAGTAACGAGATAGAGCAAAAAAAAAAGAGGAAAAAAAAGAGCATACAGATTCATATTTATATATATATACAAGAGAATCTGCAAAGCAGAAAGTCAAGGGGCAAGTGGTCATCTCACCAGGGGAGGTCGGGGCTTGTCATGTCCTTGATCAATTGCAAGTATGGAAGCAAGTACAATCGCTTCCTTTTTTCTTACCCCCTCTTTTTCTTTATATATTTGGGGTCCTGGATGCTTAAAAGATTCCCAGTTAAGGTGCCTGATGTCTTATGCTAATTGAAGAATGAAAAAGATTTGGGACCCATTTCTTTTTGTTTTATACTTGTGTGAGCTGAACAAGTACCAAACTTACTGAAGGAGACAAAACAGAATGTATTCCTTATTCCATTCCTTGCCTCAAACAATAACCCAAGAGAGAGCATCTTTTCTATTTTCTTATCTCTTCCTTGAGTGTTGTATCTAATTCCAAAGTTTTTTTTTTTTTAGGTGCTCTAGTCAAGACTCCCCTTATACATTCTCCAAATAAAACCAGTAAAAACCATCATTTCGCGTCTACATCTCTCCGCTTTAATACAGATAAAATTGAACTATGTATATATAGGGTATAAGTAAGGGATTCGAAAGATCATTAAGAGTTTAAGATTTCCAATTGGAGAGTTTGAACTCGACTTATAAAAAGAAAAACACCATCACCTATTGTTTAACGCTTTAGTTGATGTATACCAAAAAAATACCATATAAATTGGTAAGTGTTACACTAATTTTTTGCCACATATTACAAAATTTTTAAAATTAATATAGGCACTTGAATTAGATGAAATGCCATTCCCTAATATCAGGGGCCATCTTAATTCAATGACTAGTATGCAAAACAATTTTTTTGAAATTTTAAAGTGTGCGATAGAAAGTTGATGTAAAAGTTTTTCAAATTTTTGATATTTTACTTTTAAAATTGTAAAAATTAAGATATCTTATTAATTAAAATGTCAAGAATGATAATAAAAAAAATTAAATATGCTTAATGACTCAAAATATAATAAAAATTTATTAAAAATAATTTCACAAACAATTTTAATATTTTAAATGTTAAGGTATCATGATTTTCTTCCTTCCCTATATCTTATTTATAATATTATTTCTTCACCTTGTATGTCGGATGATAACTAAAGCAACAACCCCAACAACAACAATAACAAGGCGAGGAACAAAGCTGCAACAGATCTCAGAATCTTCCTTGAAATTGAGAACATGAAAGGTGAGATTTGAAGGTCCCAAGGACATAAGAGATAGTGGATTCCCCTAATCCAAGAAAATTCTCCTCTAAAAATGTTTTTTTTTTTTTTTTTTGCCAAAACTAAAAAAAAAAAAAAGTTTGGAATAAGATTCTTGACTTTGCCATTCGGACAAATACTGATGCATATAAACAAAAAATATATATATTTGGTGGATCAATTCTGGAACCTAATGCAAGGCGAGAGTATTTTTAGAAATTCAAATGGGTTTGTATTGTCTGAGAATAGAAAATGGACCTAGGGAATAGATCCCACACAAGGAATAAAGAAGGAGGGACAATATCTCTTTCTGAGTCATTGTGAATATTGAATTGAGTCTCTGATGTTCGATCGCCTTTGTTCAGATTCTATGCCTCTCTAACTGTCCCTTGCAACCACCCATTTTCCTTTATAAGGTCGTCTTTGGAGTGGCTTTCGACTTGTGAGAGGTTGGCAGCAGGAGAAAACGAGATTAGTAAGAGCATTTGCAGAAAAGTCTTAGTGTCCAGCTGTGGAATTGTACCAGAAAAACAATCAAGTTCCTGACTTCAACGCCCGTGTGCTAGAAGCGTAAAGATCAAACAAACAAAGAACGTTTCAGGTAAAATCACAACCTCTTGACAACATAGTGTGTGATTATTAGTCCTTTCAACAACTGGCTAAACTTGGTGAGTTCTATTGGGAGACAGAAAAATGTACAATCACCAACATCAAGGCAAGAACATCCTTGCCGCTTCAAGAATGCCTATCTCACCTGAAAGGCACTTGTTTCTGCAAGGTGGGAATGGCCATGGTGATTCTGGTCTTGTCCTGTCCACTGATGCCAAACCGCGACTAAAGTGGACTCCAGACCTTCATGATCGCTTCATAGAAGCTGTTAATCAGCTTGGAGGAGCAGACAGTGAGTGCATAAAATGTTCTTGCAATATGGAGTAGATAAATGCATAACTGTTCTTGTACTGATATGCTAATCTTGCTCTCTGTTTTTTATCACAGAGGCTACTCCAAAAACAGTTATGAAACTCATGGGGATTCCAGGACTTACCTTATACCACCTCAAAAGTCACCTCCAGGTAAATTATCAAACACTTCCCTACAATCCTCTCTAACAAAATCAGATGTTGTAGATTTGCCCACCATAACTTTCTAGCAATTTCTCTTTTTCATTTTTTTGGTTGCAGAAATATAGGCTAAGTAAGAATCTCCATGGACAAGCTAATAATGTGGCTAACAAAATGGGTAAGACAATAATGTCACCAAAAATTTCAGAATTAAATTCATTCATTTTCTTTGAAAGATTTCCTCATAGAAAAACAAAATTATCCCAATTTTTAAATAGGTACAGCGGCAATGGCAATAGATAGAACATCTGAAGCAAATGGTACTCACCTGAATAATCTAACCATGGGGCCTCAAACAAACAAGTAAGCAAATCAAAGTTATTTCATGTTTTGAGACATTATTCATCTACCTAGTGCTCAGTGCTTAGTGCTCAATTTTACTGTTGTATTACCATGCTAACAATAATAACATCCATAAACACAGAAACTTACATATAGGAGAAGCATTGCAAATGCAGATTGAAGTGCAGAGAAGACTACATGAGCAGCTTGAGGTAAAGTGCATTACAACCCTACAAATTAGAATATGTTACAAAAAGTTTGTAATTCTTCA